ATTTTCATTAATTCAACGAAAATAGGAAAGATATGCTTGTTCACAAAACAAATACTTCCTATTGATACAGAGAGACTATTAAATTTTTAAAAATTACAAAATGTTATACATTATTAATTTCCTTAACCCATTCGACCGGTACTTGTTTTAGTTCGAGTCATCGACCACGAGCTTAGCTCGTTCTGTCAAATGGGCTAAAATTACGTCGCTTTCGCATTTACATTTATGCTTATTTCACATAAGTAACGAACGGTACCATGACGACGGTCGCGGTTTAACAAAGAGAACAGACGCGGCAGTAGTAGGAGGGTAGTGTGGAAGCTCGAAGACGTCGGTGAGCAACTGCTTGGCGAACTTGGAAAATCTTGTCACACACGGATAAACTCCAAGACTCTGCGTGCGATACGAGTGGAATCACTCTGCGGATCGCGAGAGGCTCGAGAACTGAGCGGTGGCTAATCGCCCTTGATTGATCAATATAACGGGCAACGACTCGAGAACTAGTGATCCTGACCCGGGACCCTTTGCCGGGCTCGAATTTGCAGAATACGGAAGTTAAGAAGCAGGACTATTTCCCGTGGGAGAAGGTGCCGCTTGTGCCGCGACCGTCGCTGGTGCCGGAGCCGTTCACCGTGTGGGGCCGCAAGAAGCTGGACCCGCGCGAGGAATTCTATCAGTACGCCACCCTGCCGGACAAGGAGGGCGTAGTGCGCGGCAAGGACGTCGCCAAGGAAGATCACGTTCGGCAGCTGGTGGACGGTGGTGCCGTTTCGAAGGTCGGCCTAGACGCCGCCGCCGAGCTGGCCACTCGCGGCCACGTCTTCGAAAAGGGCGTGCTCGCACGGCCGTCCAGCAAGGTCAGGCACGCCACTACACCTGCCACTGGCCGCACCAAGATCTTGCTGGCTCTGCAGACGCCATCTTGGTACCGATTCTAACGACGAGAACCGAGAAGAAAGAAAGACAGATGACGAGGATGTTGCATGTTTCGTGGACACTCTTCGGAAGGATCAAATTAATACCGACGTTTTTATGGGACATACATTTTTTTAGCATGAATCGCCTCCGCGATAAAGATACAAAGCGAGAATTATTACATTATATAGTTCGATGTCTTAACGTTAACTGATTTTCTCTGATGATCATTACGTACGTAACATTGTACTTGCTATTTCTATTGTGCTCGTATCTTTGATAGTGAATTAGCGTCAGGCTTAGCTAGTCAGGCCTTAGCCGATCAGTTTTTACACGAAAATGTTTATACTCCGGAATGTTAAATTTACTTGTAGGAGTTTCTCAGATTAGTATTTTATTTTAATGACGATTAGATTTTCTGGATGTAGCTAGAAGGGTGTCTTCACATTTAAACACCGGTCGTCACACTTCCAAGGCGATTGGTAGCGATTTTTTCTCACCGATTGTTTGTGAAGAGAATAAAATGAGAATAACGTGAGAATATGAAAAAGCCTCGGCATTTACTGATCATCTCCGATTTACGATTTCTGACGCGAGTTCACGGCGCGAGAATTCTTGTAGTCACGCTTTTTCATAGAAGAACTGTCGCGCCGGAAAAAGCGTTCAACGCATCTTTCAATCTGCTCGTGGTAAATTTCGAAAATGACGATTCCGCTTCTTGGGGAATCACAGCCCAAACGACCACGTTAATAACAATTACGTAAAACGCCCGTGAAACTCCGCATCGCGAATGCATTTCCGCGGGTATCGTAATAACTCACAATTACTTGTTCGACTCATCAAACGGATTATTCGAACTTATTCTTCGTTAGCGTGAGCGGATACATAATTCATGCATGTATACAAGACGAATAAAGCTATGATGTCACTCTACAGAGAGTTTATCAAGCCTGTTTGTCGCGAGATTGTGCTAACGAAATACCCCAGATTAATTAAATTCTCGTTTAATTAATCCCTTCGCATCTAGCGTAATCACGCGCGGTTGTAATCATCGGTCTTGATTAAACCTTCTCCTCTTTTCTTCTCCCATTATCATCAGCTCTGAGCTCCAGATATAACAAAAATATATACTTACCTATTAAATGCTTAAACGTTGACAAGCATCGTTTAATGGTTTATTAAGATTTCGTGATCGCGAAAAAACATATTGACCTCTATAATATCTTGATTATATGTTTGAACGGCGCTCTGACTTTTGACCCTTGCCGAGAGCAGTAACTTTTAATTGCCTTGTATGGACTACACTAAGTTGTTTGACATTAATTTACATAGTCGCGTCGCAAACTGCGCGACCGAAGCGGCGGTCTTACTTGCGAAAAGAATCCGCAGGAGGACGACATTCCGCGATTATATACGAGTGCAAAGAACTTACCTCGCTCTATTCATATTTCATCATAAAATATAAAAGAATCTCGCGAGTCCTGTCAAACTTTAGCAAAACAAAAAAAACCGATTCGCAGCTGAATTTGCAATTAAATTCTATTTAGAGTGCCTCTTTCGTCGTCGAATTCGTATCGAAGCTTCGTATTGGCATTAAATTCCTTCTCCGTGTCGAATTGCAATCGCGAGAACGTGCCCGACTAATCGAGCGACTTCGATTAAACCGTAATTAAGTTCAACGAAGCGTTAACGTAATCCGCCACGAAGTTTCACGCTCGAAGAAGGTCGAAGAAGTTTCGGCACGGGACACCGAACGCACACGTGGCGGGACATAGACGCGTGGAACATATTCTCACCCACGTACACACGTACACCTGTCACGCCAACGCACACATGTACCGCAAATGTTACCCACGCGCGTTTCTTGGCGAGGGCCGCGTATCGTTGCCCAACGCTCGGAGTGTCCTGAATATTTCGGCAAGGAGACATTATTAATGCATATGTTACATACCGCTCCGCGTTTATAATTGGCCCGCACGTTGTGTGTCTACAGATAGATCGATACATGTTATTATCCGCCGAACATGTCGCCGAGTTCCATCATACTTTCGCCTCTGTGTATGAGTGACGAGAAAAAAAATCCCTCACGTCATGTGTCCTTCATTTTCAACTTCCACCTTTCATGCGTCTCTTAACCCTTTGCACCGTAATTCGTCGTCGTTCACCATTAATACGTTGACCTTTATCTAAATCACGCGACTGATGAAATTAATTAATGCGAGGTGTAAAAGTATAATAGATCCGCGTCTCAGAAAGACAAAGATATTTTTCGTTTTGCGTCATTTTACCGATTTGAAAATAAAAATAAAAATCAGAAAACTAAAATTAAAATTAAAATAAGAACTCTTAGCGCCCTCGTCCTGCAGACGTGATAATTGTACGTTTCATTTATATAATCGAAAAAATAAATATAGTTAGTAATTATAGTTAGAATTATTCCGGGAGTTTTCAAACTACGAACGGTGGATGTTTATCTTGTTGGCGCGAAATAATACAGCAAAGGGTTAATCGCGCTCGTATAAAGCCCAGCGGGTTCCAGTGTCGTCTGGATCCCGCCAACTTTCTCCTTATCTGGCCGCAAGCCCAGCCGGCCATCTGGCCGGCATTACCGGCCAAACTTCGTCCACGGAGATGAGAAACGACTTCGCGAACCTCTCCCTCTCGGAATAGATGAACTGGCAGCGCGCGAGTACGTTACTCCCCGCGCGGCGACGCGGGTTAATTATTCGCGAGTAGCGCGAGTAGTTACGGACACCGTCGAGCCAGACGACGCAGCGATGCACCTGTTCGCCCACCTTCCACCTTCCACGTCTCTCGCCTCCGCATGTCGCGCGTCTCTCTCGACCGGAGAACAGGGCCAAATGATATTTTAGGAAGACGAGGATCTGATATTGTCGTGAAACACGTGAGAAAGAGGAAAATAACGGAAGGAAAGAAAAGTTTGTAAAACAAAAAAGGGCAAAGTTATACGGCTGAAAAAAATTGTAGGTTCTACATGATACAACGTGTTCCAGACTTATTGTTTTAGTGGACAATTTTTCATCCATAGATCCTCTTTCATTGATTTAATTTAATTTTTGTTCCGCAAGTTTTCAAGTTTCAATATTAAATATTTTTTCCACAGTAAAGTTCAGACTACAGGTCTATTAAATTAAATCAGAGATAAAGTCTGAAAATTAAATCAAAGATAAAATTTTGATTATCTTATTGAAGAGAAAGTCTTCGCTTAAAAATTATAATGTCTTAATATCAACCTGTTCTCCGATCAGATAAATCGATCATGAGACCTCACATTATGAATAGATTCTGTAAATTTCTTTAATGCAACCCTATCTCCCGATCCGATAATCCACTTGCGGCCCGCGGATGGAGAACCGCGGGGATCGTCCTGAGACGAGAATAATGTCTGGCATATAATTTTTATACGATATTCACGCCCTGTACGGCTTAAATAAACGAAAAAAAATCTGTAGAAATTTACATCATAAAATCAAAGTCATTTTATAAAATTTCACTAATTGTAAATGTAATTTTTCAACATTAATTTCGATCAACATAATTTCCCTATACCTAATAATTTTTCTTTTAATCATTGATAATCTGGGCGATCCGATTAACGATTCCTAGACAATATTTTGTCGACAATGTCGCGTGCCGGGTGCAAAAATCAAGTCGCCGTTACTCGTCGACGGGCGCCGCTCCCGTTTTTCCGGAGGCGAGCCTGTTCTCCTCCATGTCGTTGACCTTGATCTAACCCCGAATCCGTAGACGCCTCGCCACTACGTGGTCCGTGACTATCCGGAGACCGGGCTGAGGTCCGCCCAAGAGCAGTACAACTATTCGTACACCAACACCAGCTCGAGCAGCTCCACGGACCCGTATACCGGCCGTCCTCAGAGGACCACCCAGAGTCAGGAGAGCGTCATCAAGAGGGAGAGCGGCCCGTACGGCTCGTACTCGACCGAGAGGTCGTCCAGGACATCGTCCGGCGGCGGCCCCGGGAGCTATCGCTCCTCCTACGAGTCCACCGCTTCCGGTCGTTTGCCCGGCGGCACCAGCTATCGCCATTACTCCTACCGCGTCTAAATCCCCGGCATATCCCCCTCACGCCGATCGCGCTTCTTCCGCTCTCATCGATCTCGACGACTTTCCAAATTCTCTCCGCACCGCACCGGGCGAATTTTCGACGATACCGAAACGAAACGAAACAGCGCGGGTCTGCGATATCTCAACGCACGAGACGTGAATGATACATCATTTCCGACTTGAAACGCCGCCGACTCCGCTACTCGCGGCACATCTGTTCGTCGTATCGCGCTGAAGAACACGTAGTCGCAAACACGTCTTGCGGTATTAGTAAAACCTGATACGCGAAAAATACGCAGAAATCGAATCATGCCATTTGGAAAACGCTTTAAAGGAGATATCCATCGATGACGGAGACTTCCCCTTTCGACGAAAATTACAAAGTTCGATCTTACGAGTCGTCGACGGAGATTTCCTCTCGGTAGAGATTGCGAAGTTAAATCTAGTGGCAGTAACGACAAGCGCGCGTAAAGTGTATTGAATAAATGTACTTTCTTCTTCGCAACAAGATCGCTTCGCTATATAAATTTGTTTATCGAACTGAAAATGAATCATTATTGAATTTCAAATGAATATTGATTTGGTCGTCGAGATCGATAAAAGCGGAATATCGTCTTTTTGTCGCATGCCGATCCAGAACTCCTTTTTGTTTCTCTCCTCGTGTCAGTTTTGTACGCTTGATTTTCTTAAAAATGTCTGATGAAAAAACGGAGGAGGATTTTCGCGCTTTGAATGTGCACCAGCGGATCGGCAGAAAAAACCCCCGATATTCTTGATGTTATCACCCTGTTGTAATTACCGTTGTAATTACCGCTGTTGCCGTAGCCCGAGCTGGAGATAGAGCATCCCGCAGTTGCATTTAGAGATAAATTATGAGCTAGTCGCTATGAGCTAATAGCGAAAGCAATAAGCAGAGCTATCGCGTTGGTATTTTTATCGAGTTTTAGTAATTCGTGCGATAATCGGCGCGCTGGCGATATGGAGAGCAGACGGTTTTCGATCTCCTAAAAATATATCATGTATGTACATCCGACCTTTGTAAATCATGAATTTCGGACGAGCTCTCCGGAATTTCGCGCTTGGCGCGCAGCGCGAAAGTTGTAAACAACCACGGCAATAAATCGCAAATAAAACAGCACTGTAAAGATTTGTATCCATCCTATGCGAATTGACGTCGACGCTTTAAATTGCGAATCGAACGCTGCCTTGCGCAAATTGTTTGTGTGTTGAATGTCCGCCCTCTAATATCTGCTCTATCCTAACTCGCGATATGCCAGATATATGCCTTCCCTTTCCCTTGGGGATGTTTTTATTTTTTTTTTTCGTACAGCCGAGTGAGCGTTTTTCGTGATTCATATTTCTAGAGTAGAGTGTCGATCGGGCAGCTTGTGTCGTCCCGATATTTCTATAGAAGTGCGCCGTTCTGCGAGATGTTTATCGCATTATTTACACCAGGCAATCATAATCTCAGAAAATGCGGAAAAAGCAACACAACGTGGATAAAGAAATAGTTCTTGTGAGACAGATCGCTTCTTATTCGAGAGCGACGCGCGCGCGATATATCAACTCTTGAGATAATATGAGGATTTAATTATAAAGAAATATATATATGGAATAATAATAGAAAGCTTTATTTAATTCTTTACGAATTGACCTGACGTGATACAATAACATCACGTTATTTATTAATATTAAATTTAAAAGGTCCTCAATTAAATTGTTTTAAAATTGATATCTGAACTTTTCTAAAATAGTACGGAGAAAGAGGAATAACTTAATTTTCGCTGATAGTTATTTAAATGTATATTGTATAGTGATTTATATGCTGCAATATTTTTGGAGAGTTAAGATCGGATTATATTATCTTGTCTCCTGAAATTATGGTTATTCTGTGTGACGTCGTAGTAAAATATGAAGAAGAATTGCTTTCCATCCGGCAGTCTTATCGCGAAGTAAGTTCTATTAACCGTAACTAACAACATTCATCGTCATTATCATCGTCATCGTCATCGTCATCATCATCATCATCATCATCATCATTATCATCATCATCATCATCATCATCATCATCATCATCATCATCATCATCGCCGTCATCAGCGTCGTCGCCATCGTCATCTCGATAGACACACAACGCGACAATTGGCCAAGTCGGTTATCTCGAGCGTCAGTCACGAAAAGAAATCCGTCGCGGCATACGAGCCTTCATGTGACCTTTTCTCTCTTTTTCACTTCCTCCCCGGTGACCCTTTTCTCATCCCTCCTAATCTATGCCCACTCGAGACTCCGCGAAAAAGCGTAAAGCGAGGGCGAGGCAAACGGGATAGCGAGGGTAAAACGAGAACGAAGAAGAAAGAACGATACGCAGATGTCAACCGAGAGTCACTAACCGAGTTGTTCTTCTTTCTATTTACTCTGCCCCTCACATGTGACTCCTCGTTCCTCGTCGCCGCCGCCTACGCCATCACTGCCGCCGCCATCGGTGCCGCCATCGTTGGAAATCTCGACGGATAAAATAAAAAAAAATATATATATATATATAAAATACCCTCCCCGTGTCTGTAAACGCGGTGCAGTATCGACCCATTATCGACGTCATACCGCTCTCCGGCGTCATCCAGGTAGGTACTTCCATCTGCTGATGGTATACGATCGTAATGCGCGGGCAAATGCTCGACTTTCGTCACCGGAAGCGCAACAGGTGCGATCGTCGATTCTGATTTTTCGCGTCGCAGATTTCTAGATCTCGTATACTTCCATCTCGATTTAGGATTTACGCGAGATGTAGAACCCAGCGAAGCATAAAACTTAGTTTCCAATTTTTTGTTGTTGAAAAAACAAGTAAAAAACTTGCACTTGATTTTGAATTATTAAATTCTAATTGTCTCGCTGAAGAGATTATTTCTTAATCGAACAATACAATTCGATTTTAAGAGAATAAAAAAATGCTTTCAGAAATTTTTGAATCCCAAAGGACTAATATTGCTTAATATTCTCGACGCAAATCAGAATCGACTGATACCTCTTTGCGTGATTTAAAAACTGGATCGACATTGTCTTTCGCAAATAACTGCATTCGCAAAAAATATAACTAAAATATAAAATATATGTGAATCACTGTGAAAGTAATACGAATAGATTTTGATAAATACAATTAGTAAAGTTCAAGTAATTTTATACGTGAAATAACTTAAATTAAAAATATGACATAAATTATCCAAGTGGAACTTTCCAGTTTAAGTTCAGATTTGTGAAATTTAATAATTTATGAGAATTTTAAAACTTAAAAAAAAGTTATATGTATGTAATCGAAAGGAACGTCGATCACTCATTTGATTTGCCTGCGTTCGATAGCAATAACATCTCGCGATGATATTAAATATATAATTTGTTTCATGTTCGAGTTTTATGATTTTTCTATATGTATAATCTATGTTTAACTTCTATATTGCATATTATGGCATCAACAGAATGTTACGCAAAGTTTGTCAATAATTCTAGAAAAAGCATTTGTGAAATAGATGTAACGACGCTTTGCCGCTCTCACGCTAATTAATTTCATACATCTCGCATTAATTAATTTCAGATCTCGATGTTTACTAATTCTAAAGCGCTACCTCATCGCAGTAATATTCATCTTCACGGTATCGTGCGTGATTCAAGGTAATGTAACGCATTGCTTAATCCCCGTTGCCGTCATTGACAGATGACCGTGCCCATATATGTTTAAAAAGCTTCCTAATATAATTACGCGTTGAAACCTTTCGTTTGCGTATCGATCATATGTCGCTACTCATCGCTGGAACGCATCGAATGCTTCGCTTTGCTATTTCTAATCTTTTGGTGACGGCGTTTTATTAATACAGAAAATATTAATAATAATTATAAATATTAGTAAAATATCTATTTAAAATAAAAAGTCCCGCAGAATTTTTCATTTACGTAATGCACAGGTTTAATTTCTGAATACTCGGATTACTGGATCCACAGATATTTTGTTTTTCGAGAAAACAATTTTTTCTTTCTCTAATAATCGCCTTATAAGTTTCCAAGCAAAAGCTTAAGGAAATTCATCATTCCGACTTCTTAACTGCTTCGAATTAGACAATTTTCTTCTACTTTACACGCACAATTTAACCGTCACCGAAAGAGTAAACCGCTTGGCATCTTGGCTCGCAGCGAGATATCCGCTTCGCAGCTCGCCGCTGCCAGGCGAGCGCGATTAGTAAAAACGAGACGTTCGTTGCCTCCAGTTGAGGAGCGTTCCTCATATGCCATACGTGGCACACAAGAGGCTCGTCACCATAGTTCACTCGCCGATCCATCATGTGTACTACTCCGGCGCGATGGTACCGATAAGGGTGCGATCGCGCGTGCGGCCCAGCATCCTCGCAGCTGAGCTCAACAGGATACGCTACCTGCCGAGGCTGTCATCCCGATCCTACACTGAAGAATACCTAAATTCCCGAGACAACATAGTAAGTCCGGCAGCTAGTCTAATATCACTCTCCC